CTGAGCCTGCGGGTTCGAGACCCGCCTGGGCAGCAAGACCTCATCTCTACAATAAATCAAAAAATCAGCTGGGTGTGGTAGCGCATGTCTGTAATTCTGGCTACTTGGAAGGGTGAGGCAGAAGGATCGCCGGAGCCCAGCAGGTCGAGGCTGCGGTGGCCGGGAGTGGCCACTGTACTCCAGTCTGGGCGACAGAGTGAGACTCCAACTCAAAAAAAAAAAAAAATGTAAAAGGAAATGGAGTTTTTTAAGAACATCGTGGTGGCACTTCACATCTTCTGGAAATGACAGATGTTCAGGACATAGAGCAAAAACAGAAACATGATGCACAGCTTAACATGTTACAGAGAAAGCATTTACTGGAAACTAAACAGAGGATTTTCAAATTCCTAGATGTTTCTAGACTCTCTTCAAAGCTAAGCTGAAGTTTCAATTCAGAGGTAAGGAAATGGCCTATGGCACAGCATGAGCTTTGGTGTGATCTGAGAGGCTTCCATGTCCCTTAACGCCCACATGCTCCCTTTCCCCAAGGTTCAGTTGGGTGCGTGGCTATCTCCCAGCTTCCCCTACAGCTAGGTGTGGCCCATGGGATAAGCTCTGGCCAGTGGAATGTAAAGGCACAAGTTATACATAACTTCTGACTCACATCTCTAAAACGGAAGCTGGCTCCCCTTCCCGCTCTTTCCCCCTTCCCTTGGCTAATCACAGACAGGCTCTGGGAAGCAAGCTCTGACTGTGCAACTGTGCAGATGAGAGCAATGTTCCAGAGAATGGCAGAAACAGCCAGAGAGGAGGAAACCTGGGACTGGACGACCAGCGGGGCAGAGCTATTGGCCTGCCCTGGACACCCACTCAAATACCCACCTCTGAAGTACTAACAGAGAAGCAGACTTCTATCTCATTTGGGCTATTCTATGTAGGGCTCTTTTTGTTAGGGCAACTGAGCCTGTATTACCATAACTTACATAGTAAACTAGTCCAACTACAGCATGTAACAGTGTTTCCAAGGAAAATGTGCTCTAGATTTCAAATCACCAACTTCTGGAGCACATTTCTTTGGTAAGCTTTCTATATTCGTATTTCTAAATTCTGTATTTTACAATGTGACTTCGTTAAAAAAATATATATATGTTGTTTATCTATCTATCTATATGCACGCACACACACACACACACACACACACACACACTATAACCAATAAAAACTACAACCATAGCAAAAAATTTAAGTCTACAACATATATGTACACACCAAACTTTTTCTTAAAATACCTTCTGTCTGAGTTTCATTTATGAAACTGCCATTCTAAGAAGCAACCCAATGTATTGCTTTTTAATATCCTTGTGTCTATAGCCTAAAAATATTGGCGTGTCTTTCCATATCACTTTGGTGATAAAAATTGCTTCTGGGAGTACCTCAAAGGTACACTCTTTGCTTACAGATAAAACTAAATGGCTAATTTCCATAATGCCAGCCCTATTAGTAAGACATCAATGGAACTAAAATTGTCCTTTTTGAAGTTCAGAAATGTGAACCATGACACACCTCTATTTTCTTCTTCTGCTCCATCTTCTTTTGATTTTTTCATCTTTTTTTGTCGAAGTTTGGCAAGTCTTGCTTCTAAGATAGCTTTTCGCTTCTCCTTTATGTTTTCTCGTTTTGTTCTCTGATCTGTCGTCTGCACAAAAAATTAGCCAATTATTTGCTTGAAGCCAAATTTGCAGTATTTTTGTTCAAAAGGAAGAAATAATTTTCTTCCAAAAGCTGATGTTCAGGCCCCTCGAAAAAGATCTCCTTGAGGCCCTCCAGTTGAAGGCCTCTTGAGGCATTCTTACAGAAGCCATCAGACAGCTAGTGAAGTTTAGCAGGAGTTCATGGGCATCCCAGAAGCCTGAAAACTCAAAAGCACCAATCAATTCTGTCCTCCTTAATTCCTTAAGTAAATTTCTATTTTCCCACCCAGACCACCCCAAAAGTACCATATTTGACACTAGACTTAAAACATCCAAGTTACATAGGTTGCTTGTGAGCAGTCACAAAGCTTGAAACACAAAAATAGTATGGCAATTACTTTTATGCAACCTACAATGGCATTCTGAACATCAATTTTAATTTCTAATTAATTTACTAGATTTGCTTGCAGTATGGTCCAGCAAGAAGCCAAATGCTCAAACCCTTCTTTCACATCAACTTTGGACATGTCTGTACCTGCTCACGTAGCATCTCTAAAGTTTTCATCTGCTTGTTTCTCAACTCTTTGTCTTGGGCAAAAGCAAAATAGCCAACACCAAGTTGCCGGGCCTCTGAAATAAATCAAAATCAACCAAAAGATTAGATAGCAGTAAACTACATTCAAGCCACATTTCCTACTGAAGCAAACAACAAAAAAACCCACAGTGATATTTGGCACAGGTTAAAAACAAAAGAAAAAAGCAGCTAAGAAAAAAAAAAAAGAACTAGTTTTCATCTAGTTTGCCAAGTGATAAGCATAACAGAGATTCATTAATTTTCAGTCATGGGCTGTCTCCACTTCTCTTGGGGAACAAACTCTTGAATTAACAGACCCTGTTAGGAACATAATCCCAGTATGAGTATTTTTAAGGCTATCAAGTGAATAAAGGAGAGATTTTCCATTTCCAAAGCCGAATATTTAATTTCTATGTAAGAGCGTCTGCCTGAACACTTCCTTTGCTTGCCATCAGTTCCAGATGAAAAGACGATTGAAAAAGCTGCAAGAACAGAATCGTACCATTCTCCCGAATGTCTTCATAATGTACAGGCCCCACTGGCCTCTTCAGGGCCTCCCTCTCCTCCTCTTCCCACTGCTGGCGCTGAAGCTCTTTCCTCATATCTTCAGAGAGTAAGGTTTTTTCAGTAGCGGGACTAATGAAGCTAGTAGCAGAACAGAGCTGAGTTCAGTCAGTTGATCAAGTAACACTATTTGATAAAGAAGACAGTTCACCACAGAGGTTGCTAACCCACATGACTACCGGAAAGTCAATAAAATGGTTTTCACCTTTTCCAACCAAGCCACCGACTCGTGACATTACCAAGTATAATAGAATCTTGCCTTCCCACTCTGGTCCTAGGCTAAACAGATGGAAGGTGGCCCGGCAGGCAGGAGAAACTCCAGGAATGTGGAAGCCTAACACTGTGGCCTGGGTGGTGCCTCCTGTCCCCGCAGATGGCCAGATCCTGAGAGGCTCAAGGTTTATACTCTCCCTTCCTGTGAAGGCAGCCCTGGGCTACCTGCAGAATGCCTGAGCCTGGAGGACTCAGACCAGGTGGAGATTCTCCCAACACTTTTTTTTTTTTTTTTTTGAGTTGGAGTCTTATTCCGTCGCCCAGGCTGGAGTGCAGTGGCACACTCACCGTCACTCCGGCATCAACCTGCAAGGCTCAGGCGATCCTTCCACCTCAGCCTTCCAAGTAGCCGGAACTACAGGTGTGCACTTCCACACCTGGCTGATTTTTTGATTTATTGTAGAGATAAGGTCTCACCAAGTTGCCCAGGCTGTTCTCAAACCCGTGGGCTCAGATGATCTGCTTACCTCAGCCTTCCAAAGTGCTGGGTTTACAAACTTGAGCCACTGTGCCTAGCCTTCCAACACTTTTCACACAAAAGGTACGTGTGGAAAGTGGAATTTTATTCCCTTGGATGTTTCAGAAAGTTACTTTTTAGAGCTGTCTTAGACCCTACAGAAAAATCTAGCTGTAAAGCTCTTACTTCAAAAATGCAAGCCGGGTTCGGTGGCTCAGCCTGTAATTCCGCGCTTTGGGAGGCTGAGGTGAGTGGACTGCCTGAGCCCGTGGGTTGGAGACCTGCCTGGGCAACTTGGCGAGACCTCATCTCTACAA